ATAGCGCTTCAGCCCTGTCTGATCCTCAACATACTGCCAATGAACTTTATGGTGCTGGTCAGTTTGCTGATATAACTGCCCAAGCAACACTGACACCTGTACATTTTGTTCGCACCGCGACCTGTGTACATCGCGCCTTTCGGAAAGTCCCTGTTTCTGGGCAACCGCTGAGCTCCTTTGTAAATATTAAGCAACAGCATTCGGAGCCATACCATCAGTTTATAGATAGATTGAAAGAATCAGTCACTAGGCAGATTGATAACACCACTGCTCAAAATGAGTTGATGAAAAAATTGGCCTTTGAAAACGCAAACACTGATTGCAAGAAAGCTTTGCAGTCAATCATACATCGCCCTAAATATGAACTGGCCGATATGATTCAAGCTTGTGCGGATGTCAGTAGCCAGAGCCATGCGATGTCCTTGCTTGCCGGCGCAATCCAAGCAACCACTAAGCCTACTGGTAACTGCTTCAATTGCAAGCGCCCAGGCCATTTTGCCAAGCAATGCAGAGCCCCTGGCGGGGGGACAAACAAGGATGGTGCTGCCTCTAAGGCTAAACCTTCTGAATTTGCCATTGATTTGATCAATCAGGAGACCAGAGACTCTGTTTTACCTGGTGAAATTATGCTTATGCCCACTCAATTGGCAGGTCCCCTGCCTCCTAAGGTCGCAGGTTTAATTTTACCCAAATTTTCTGCGGCAAAGGAAGGCATCCAGGTTATTCCTGGAGTTTTGGATCCTGACTATGTAGGCACAATAATGGTTCAACTCTGGAGCCATATGCCCATGCAATTAAAAAAGGGTGAGTCTTGGGCGCATTTGGTGGTGCTCCCTTCTCATCCTACTGCTTCTATTATGGATACTAATTTGCACGAGCTCTCTTCTTTCCCTCCACAGCTGTTAGCCGTAGTCCAGAGGATTGGTGAGAAGAAACTTCTTCGTAAGTATAAAATCAATGGTATTGTGCTGGAAGGCTTGATTGACACAGGCGCAGACGTTTCTGTAATTTCTAGTAGTTGCTGGGACCCCACGTGGCCCCTTGAGTCTGCTTCTGCAGTCTGGGGTGTGGGTGACCCCCAAACCTCTTCCAAAAGCGTACAGTGGCTGCCTGTTTCTCTGCCTGATAGTTCTGAAACCATTGCTTACATCCAGCCTTGTGTGCTGAAAATCCATCTCAATCTGTGGGGAAGAGACTTACTACAACAATTACAAGCTACCATTCAATTTAATGAGTAAGCTTGCACTTCCCCTCAACTGGAAATCTTCTGGTCGTGTCCTGGCTATACGTTTAATTACATTCCAGCAATACATCAGCCATGGCACACCTTGCTGTTTAAGCCGTTTGTACATCATTTTACCCAAGAAGCATCATTTATCCCGCTCTCGATATCACTGCAATATTGAATTGACTAATGATTGTGATGCTTTTGTCTCTCTTCTCAGTAGGTCTGAATATATCTCTTTAGCTGTTTCTCTCTTAGGAGTTCCTGGATTGGCTGTACGGAATCGTATGAATATTAATTCTTTAGCTTGTTATGAAGCAAAAACCCTGAATTTTACTTCACAAGCCCTTCACCTTTTGAATAAAGAACAGAGTGGACTTTTATAATGGACTTTTATATAATGGACTTTTATGAAATCATGCTGCTATCACTATTTGCTCATGCTTCATCATTATGGCTGTGAACAAGTGAATGACATGTGTTGTTTCAATATTACTGACAATTCAAGAGCCATTCAAAGTCAAATCTCTCATTTGCAAAATCTTACACATCACATTAAACAGGACATTGGTTTTCCTGGCCTCTGGGATTCTTTCACCCAGTGGCTTACCGCTTGGTTGCCAAACCTGAATTGTCTTCGTGGTCTCTTTCAATATGCTATTTTACTATGCTGTTTCCTTCAATGCGTTCCTAGCCTCATGAGTCTTTTCTCTCGGCTTCTCTCCCCCCCTCCACCACCCAGTAAACTCCTTGCTGCTTACATTGCGAAATGGCAACACCAACAGTAAACCTTAGGGGAGATGTGGGCAGATTTATTTTGGGCATGCGCTGGCAAACCACGTATCCTGAAGTACTTTTGTCCCATCAACCCTGGCAAGCTTATTTCGGGCATTCGCTGGCACACCACTAATCCCGAAGTATTTTTGCCTTATCCACCTGAAATGCCTCGCAAACAAGAAAAGAAAGGGGGAGATGAAGGGAAGTTTTCTTTCTGCAGTTCTCTCACTGTGAAGTTTTCTTTCTGCAGTTTCTCTTACTGCACAACTGTTGCATTGTGGGAAGTCTTACTATGAAATCTTTCTATGCTCACTATGAGAACCCTTGCTTCTTTCCTCTTGCATTCTGGGAAGTCTCGCTCATAATCTTTTCTCTGCTTCTGCACAAGAGTCTGAGAATGTTCTGAACAGTTCCCATTGAGTTCATGAAACAGTGTATCCTGACCTGTTCTTAATGCTTTGCTGACCACATTTACGGAACGTGATTGTTGTATTCCTTCATGTTATGTTCTCTCAATATCAATCTTTAGTTATAATTTAATTAGGAGGTTTCATGCCTGTCTAGTTCCAGCTCCGTTCCCAGTCTTTTGAACTATCACTGATTAATGTAAAATGTAATGCCCGCCTTGTACCTATGTTAACCAATCAGCAACAAGATGCTTTGTGTTTGTATCAGCCAATCAGCCACAAGCACACCTGTGGCAATGTTTGTAATATTCAATAAAAGAGAGTTCCCGGGACTTGCCCCGGGCAGACGTCTCTCCTTTGACACCCACCATTCGTCTGTCGTGATTTCAACCCAACAGGAAACAACTTTTGAAAGTTCTGAAGGAGAGGAGAATGGAAATCCTCAGAGGGAAGAGCAGAGTTTAGAAAATGTAACTAATATTCAACCTGAGGCAGGAGATCCAAAATTCTCTGAAGAATTTGTAAAGTGGAAGTTAGAACAAGAATATAAATTGGAATTAGAAAAGATTAGATCTGCACAAGAAATAGAAAGAATTAAAGCTGAAAGTGAGAGCAAAAGAATTAGGGCTGAGCAGGAGAGTGAAAGTGAGAGTGAAAGAATGCAATTTCAGCTGAAGATGAGGAAACTGGTATTAGCAGCTATGGAGAATCAAAATAATAGTAATAATACCATTAGTCAAACTCAAGTGAAGGTAGATTTAAAGCGTTTTCCTGAGTTTAAGGAAAAAGATAGCCCTGAGGCTTTTATTATATCATTTGAAAGAGCTTGTCAAGATTTTCAAGTGAAAGATGAAGATAAGATGAAGATACTTAGAGCCAAAATGAGTGGTGCATTAGCTGAAATTTATGCTCAAATGTCAGAGGACCAATCCAAAATTTTTGATATGTTTAAGCAACTAATATACACCAGGTTTGGGATTACCTCAGAACAACTGAGAAAGAAATTTAGAAGTGTGACTAAAGTGAGGGAGGAAACATATGCTCAGCTTGGGGCTAAAATTTCAAACTACCTCACAAAATGGTTAGAACAGGAGAGGGCAGACTCTGTTCCAAAAATCAGAGAAGTGTTTGCTCTGGAACAATTTTATGAAACGATAAACGGCCAATTAAAATATCTTATAAAGGAAAGACACCCTTAATCGGTTCAAGAAGCCACTAACTTAGCTGACCAAATAAATGAAATAAGGGACCATAGGTTTGATGAACCAAGTTTTGGCAGGAAAGTGTGGGGGACTACCAGAAATAGATTCCAACAGGCAAAGGGAAACCCATCTTCAGAGACAGACAAGGGAAATAGGCCATTGTCAAAAGGGCAAAATGACAAAGCCCAAGCAAACACCAGTCTCACTGAGGAGAAAGGGTGGAAAACAAATTATACAACTCCCTAAGAACTGAAATGCTGGGGATGTGGAAAATTTGGCCACAAAAGTTTTAATTGTAGAGCTGGAGGGGAAAAGTCTGTCAATATTAGCCCTCTGAAAAAAACATACTGTATCAAAGCAGCTGAGGAGAGCCAAGCTAGTCAGGATAGGCCGAAGCCTGCTGAAGCGGTGGAGGCTAAAGTGGCACATTGCTATGCTATAAAACAAGACAATCTTCTTTTGAAAAATGCTGGGGAAATTATTTGGATTGAAGGGAGGAGATTTCTAGGGTTAAAAGATACAGGTTCGCAAGTCACTATTGTCCACCCAGAGATAATCTGTCCCACCAAAATAATTCCAGGAAAAGTTATGCGATTAAAAGGAATTTCAAAACACCCTGAGGTATTACCAGTTGCAGAAATCCATGTTAAGTTCCAAGATTGGTCAGGAAAGTGGCAGGTTGCTATTTCTGAGGAGATTCCCACTGCTGTGCTGATCAGATGGGATTTCTTAGAGCATGTACAGAGTTCTTTTGTAGTTACTCGCTCCAAGGGGGGTCAACAGTCACCCGATGCTGAGGGGAATACTACTGTTGCCAAAGGAGACAGAGCTGAGGAACAGAGCTGAGGGGAGAAATGAAGCCCTGCTGGTTCCTTTTATAAAAACCAAAAACATAGTTTTGCCCAAGAACAGAAAGAAGATGCTGATTTAGTTAATTGTTTTGAGGCAGCCAAATCTGACGTGCCTTTAATCCCTGAAAGTCCTGAGCGATAATAATAATAATAATAATAATAATTTATTACGGCCGTAGGCCCATACAGATAAAAACAAGACATAAATAACAGCCTGTGCACATGGGAAAAAAACAGCCGCTAAAACAATACTATAACAATAAGCTACTATAAGATGGAATGGCATACTACGCCTTAATTAGCTTGTGGTGCTCCTTGGCGACGCTTTTGGGTAAGGACAGCGACCAGGAACCTAGCCACTTTCAGGGTCGTATGGGCATCCTTATCCTGCAAGATTTGGGCAAGGTGGAATTTTGGTGGAGTACCCTCTAATTTCTGTATGATTGATCCCAACAAGTTTGCCCGTGGCACCTTAAATAAGGGGCAAGTGAACATAATGTGCTGAAGCGACTCCGGCATCTCCTTATCACATTCGCACATGGCGGAGGTTTGGCCCTTTGAGAATCTATGTCTCAGGACATTGGAGGGAAAAACATTAAACCTCGCTTTGGTGAAGGCCAGCCTATGGGCAACAGTCGAAAGGGAGGAGAGTCCTGAGCGATTCTGTCTAAGCAATGGACTATTATATAGAGAAGTCCTTGACATACCATCCAGAGGGGGGAACGAAATCAGAAGGGAGTTAGTAATCCCACAAGCTTACAGGGAGATGTTGAAAGCAGGGATCATAACACCTTCGGAAAGCCCCTGGGCAGCACCCATAGTGTTATTAGACAAACCTGGTGGATCTATCAGATTTTGCCTGGATTATAGGAAGCTGAACCATGTCACTAAAGCAGATGCATATCCAATGCCGCGTTTAGATGACCTGATCGAAGCTATAGGCCAGTGTCATTACATCACCTGCCTAGACTTAACAAAGGGGTACTATCAAGTAAAAATGGACCCTAAGGACCAGGAGAAAACTGCGTTCAGAAGTCCCTTAGGGCTGTTTGAGTTTAAAGTAATGCCCTTTGGCTTAAAGAATGCGCCAGCCACTTTTCAGCGACTGGTGGACAAAATCCTGAACGGATTAAGAGAGTTCACAGTTGCTTATTTAGATGATATTGCTGTGTACAGTCCAACTTGGGATAAACACAAAGAGCACTTAGGGATAGTGCTACAGCGAATTAAAGAGGCGGGTTTAACCATCAAAGCTAGCAAATGCCAGATCATAGAATCATAGAGTTGGAAGAGACCACAAGGGCCATCGAGTATTCAATACCTGGGACACATGGTGGGAGGAGGAGTGATGAAACTTTTAGAGACAAAGGTAGAAGCCATTTCAAACTGGCCTACCCCTACCTCCAAGAAGAAAGTCAGAGCTTTCCTAGGACTAGCCAGTTATTATCGAAAATTTATTCCCAAATTTAGTGAGTTAGCAGCACCTTTATCTGACCTAACTCGGAAGAAGGAGCCAGATAAGGTCAAATGGACAGCAGCATGTCAGCAGGCCTTTGATGCCTTAAAAAGCGCCTTGACATCAGATCCAGTCCTTGTTGCTCCTAATTATGATCGTGAGTTCACCGTCTTCACCGCTGCATCCAATGCCGGGATCGGGGCTGTGCTGTGCCAACAGGGATAGAAGGACGACCTGCATCCCATCACCTTCATAAGCAAGAATTTACTTTGAAGGGAAAGACATTTTTCGACCATCGAGAAGGAATGCCTTGCCATCGTGTGGGCATTACAGAAACTGAAGCTGTACATCTGGGGCCGAACTTTTATCTTATGTACTGACCATTCACCCTTGCTGTGGCTGAGAACAAGGAAGAATAACAGTAAGTTGATGAGGTGGGCCCTATTGCTGCAAGACTTTAATTTTACAATTAAAAATGTGAAAGGGTCCCTGAACACCGTTGCAGATGCCTTATAAAGAAGACCTGCGGTTGAAAGTTAACCAGTGCACAGTTATAATTTTTCTGTAGTTAACTCAATAACTAATATGTAACAGGTTTTGTATATAAATGTATATTTTACTAGAACAAAGTAATTGATGTACCAATGTTATGTGGGATGTGAAGGGTGTAATAATAGGTTAGTAAATGTTTATTTGCATTAGATATGTAATGCTGATTGATCAGGAGAATAACTAGGTTAAGTTATGCCTCCTGAGTCAGTCTTCTTAAGGGGGAGGTATGTAGTGTTTGCCCTCCTAGGTGGGTCATAAGGAAAGGGTTAAATGAGTGTGAAGTGATTGGCCAGTGGGAACCCAAGGGGAGGAGTTAGAGTTGGAGTTGTTGGGAAGTCAGTTGGGAGTTGGAGAAGGAAGAGGGAGGATAAGTCTGTGGGTTGGTCTAGTTTTGATGTGAGAGAGTGAGAGGAACTGTTAGGAGGAGTCAGATAGACAGTTGGGATAATCAGTTAGAAGTTATTAGGAAGGTATAGGTCGGTAAAGAAACAGATTAAGAAACTGACAAGAAAAATTATCTGAAACCATAACCTTGCTAATGCTTATAAAACAAACTTGCTTATTTGATTTAATGTTAACAACTGTCTGAACTCTGTGTGTACCCGAGAGAAACGGGTTGGTGACAGCGGGGAAGCAATCACAGTGGTGGCACAGGGATCAATAGACCGTCAAATGTCCGGGGACCCTGTGTGATTGCCACAGGGGGGTAAAATTTTCAAACAAGCAGAAATCACGGGGGGGGGGGGAGGCAATAGTAGGGAGGAGAGGGGAATTTGTAACCTGCAGCGACACACTCTTTTTGTTTATTTAATAATAATAATAATAATAATAATTTATTATTTGTACCCCGCCCATCTGGCTGGGTTTCCCCAGCCACTCTGGGCGGCTTCCACAGAAACCAAAAATACAGTAAAATCACACATTAAAAACTTCCCTGAACAGGGCTATTTATTTAAACCGCTGCCGCTCAATGAACAAATAACAAAGCTGGGGTCAACAGAGCAGGGGTCACCTGCTACACTGGACCCGGCTAAGCCCCAGAGCAGAAAGAGGCGAGGGGGGAAAAACAGGGGCCAGGAGACCAGACAGGCAATTGTTTCAGTGGAAAGAATATATGGGGGGGGGGATCAGCTGTAAATTGCTTGCATTCCCAGCTCTGGGACCCCCACGCATTCTCCTCCCAAACACTGCCGCAACACACACGAAAAACACCCCCAATTGAGGAGGCAGCAAGCTCCAACGCAACACAAAAGACCGCTACAGACACACTGCTCACCACTTCCACACTGTATCCCTGCAACGTCCCTCAATGAATCAAGCACGCGTGCGCCAAGCTAAGGAGAGCCAGTGAGCTGTAAAAGCCTCTGAAGGAGGGGGCCACCAGGTGGAGCGTTGGAAGATGGCTGACAATAACATCTCTCTGACCCATACGAGGTAATTAAGGGGCTGCTATGGGAAGTATGCAGTCTTCCTACCCCCCCAGGAGACGGGGGCGCTGCCTTGCCAGCGGTGCTCACAATGCACCCCCTGATCCGAGAGATGGGGGTGCCGAACACTTGGCACGAGCCCTCAGTGAAGTCAGATCGATTCCAATTAGCGCGTGCTGGTTAGCTTCAGCTCGGAATTATAATTGGAAACATACGATTGGAATGAAGCTGAAGCACATACATCAAGTAATGTTCGAGAGATAAGACTGCTGATTAATGGATCTCTGTGACCGGGAGTGATGGATGGATAAGTAAATCTTCTGAAGAATCACCACTAGGAGACTGTATGTTTGGAATGAAGGGGGGGTGGAGGAAAAAACTTTTTTTTTCTTTGCACGATGTGATATTAATAACCCTTCACCCCAGATAGAAATAAGATTGTTGCGTTTTTACTAATCACAAGCAGGAATTCAAGAACTGGTGTGGGATGGATTATAACAGGAGAGAGGATTGGTGAACGGTGAGAAAGAGGAAAATTTTTATGACACAGTTTAAAAATGGCGTCTCGTCAAGACAGGCTTGCCGGAGAAAGAAGGACAGGGGGAGGAGAATCAGGATCATTCGAAAGAGAAGGAATGTTGGAACGCAAGCTTGACCTGACAGAGCCTCCTGATTCATTTGATTTATTTGGCAAGCCTGAGAAAAGTAAAGGACAGACCGAAGATTAATTTTTTTTTATGGAAGCGTTGAACAGAGGCTGTCCCTGAGCGATATGATCTTTGGAGAGTACAAAACCCACACAGAGGATGCCTGTTTTCAATCTGCTTGTGAAAATTATCAGAGATCGCAAAGAAAGGAATATACGATAACAACAAGAAAAGAAAGAAAGTAATAAAGGACTATCTGGATTGAACTGGATAGAACTGTCTAATTAAAACAGTAATATAAGTGATGTTTGGACTCGTTCGGAGTTTTGGACTCGTGCGGAGCTTGATGTATGGGTACCCCCAACAAAATTTAAAATTTGGCTGTATAATTTGGAACTAATGTGATTTGGATAATGTGATGTGATTGGCCTGTTAATAAAAATTATTATTATTATTATTATTATTTAAAGCCTCTGAAGGAGCCTCCGAAATCCCTCCAGACAGCTGTTCGGCGGATAATGAAACAGCGCATGGAGCGGCAGCGCGAGCCTGAGAATATCACAACAGGAGCATGGCAGGCCACGTGGGAACATCTACAACACTTAAAATATAAATTCAGGGACATCAAATGAAATCTGGGGACATTCTGGGGACGGATTTTGTCCGGGGACAGATTTGTAAATCCGGGGACGTCTGGTAACTGTAGTATAAGCCCCCTATGCTCAACAGGCGGTACCACACTTCTAAAAGATAAAGAAGCTATTGCATTGTGCTGGAAAGAACATTACCAGCAACTCCTTAACTGCAACTCCCCTCTCACAAATCACACAAAAACAAATTAGAGATGAGCTTGCAGCATCTCCAAATCTGGGAGAGTTGTGTACAGCTATTAATCAAATGAAAGCCAGCGGATCTGATGGGATACCTGCTGAAGTGTCAGGAACGTCCCTTCCCAGAGCGACAGTGAGGATTCTGAAGAGGAGGGGTGGCAGGCTGGGGAAAACAAAGGCTTGCTTCCTTCCCATACTGAGGGTGATGCAAACCCCTCCTGTCCTGGAATGCAGACTGTAAATTCCTAATATAGCATAGGTCAGACAGAAGCAGGTTCAGAGGGACTGCAGCCTTTAGACATCGTTCCAAGTATGGAGGAGATGGCTCCAGAGGGGGCTGGACAAACTGCCCCTGAGTCCCCATGGACACGGCGAAGGAATAGGGTCTAGGTTTGGTGTCAGTCCAACAGGAGAAGGAGCGGCCGATGGAGGATATCCTGTTGGAGGAGGATCCACCCTTTAGTGAGCTTAACATCGTAACAGATGATTGAGTTGTGAGCTCGGACTTAAACTACTGTGTAAGGTAAAGGTAAAGGGACCCCTGACCATTAGGTCCAGTCGTGGCCGATTCTGGGGTTGTGGCGCTCATCTCGCTTTATTCACCGAGGAAGCTGGCGTACAGCTTCTGGGTCATGTGGCCAGCATGACTAAGCCGCTTCTGACGAACCAGAGCAGCGCATGGAAACGCTGTTTACCTTCCCACTGGAGCAGTACCTATTTATCTACTTGAACTTGACATGCTTTCAAACTGCTAGGTTGGCAGGAGCAGGGACCGAGCAACGGGAGCTCACCCCGTCGTGGGGATTCGAACCGCCGACCTTCTGATCGGCAAGTCCTAGGCTCAGTGGTTTAACCCACAGCGCCACCCGCGTCCCCAAACTACTGTGTAAATACTAATAAATCTAAGTGCAATTAAACCGCCAGCTTGCTGCATTCTTGGTGTGAGAGGGACATCTGTAATCCTGACAAGAAGTCTTCAGAGTGGGCAGAATTGAACTTACACAGCAACTTCACAAGCTCATTGAAAATATCTGGGAGAGAGAGGATATCCCAGCAGACTCCAGAGATGGCAAAATCATTAATTATTTTTTTTTAAAGGTGATATAAAGGACTGTGGAAATTATTGAAGCATCTTGTCTCTCCGCTGCAGAAAAAGCTCCTTTTAAGGGGCAAAAGAGCAGCGAGGTCGAGACGCCGGTGCGGGACGCCATTTTCTACGCCCGAGAAGCGCAGCCTCAAGCTTGTCCGACATAGCGGTAGACTCCAAAAGAATAAGAAATCAGGATTTAATTGGCGATACAAAGCAAGAAAAAAAGTTTACTAATGATTCAGAAGCAGCGGGGTGCTAAAAAGGAGGTCAGCCCCGTCTGGGATTTTATTTATATGCAAGAAGTACCCACAGAATGGAAGAAACAGTGAGTTATCCTAAAACGGAACATTTGATTCAAAATAAACACTTTACTTTACCTAAGAAGGTGGATTTAATGCAGGAAGGGGTGAAAGCCCTTACTAAGGGATTTTTTCTTTGTCTTCTTGGTGAATTTCTGGGACTGCGGGAAGAGAATCTTCCCTGTAACTTTTACTTTCGATTTTAATGAACTGCGTAGTCAATTGTTAAGCCTCTTTGATATACTGTTTATTTCTGTATATGCCAAAGCAGCGTTGTGGAGAACTACCAAGCCCAAACTAATTGACCGATTTTTTATTTTTTGTTGATTTCTCTAATTTTTCCTTTTGAAGAAAGCTGTGTGGGGTGAAGAAATTATTTA